TATACAGGTTTGGAACAGCTTGTAAATGATAATGATAAATTTTCATTTTTGGGAGAACTACCTTTTTAACTTTAGTAGAAGATAACTTATTCATTTAAAACTTTAATGCTTTTAAAAATGTAGTTAAAGGCTAACTCAACAATAGCCTATTAAATTTTGTTTATCAAATACTTTCATTTTTTACTAAAATTAGTTTATGAATAAAAATTTATTAGCCACTGCAGACCCCCTGTTGAAGACCCATGATATGATGATTATTATCATATTCTTGTACAACTATTTATATGGTTTTTCCAAGGTACCTTCAAGAATAAATGGACATACAAAGTTTCCTGTCTAAAAACCACGGTATTGTCATAATGGTACATGTCCAAAAAACATGGTACTGTCATGATATATGTTCAAAAAAATAAAAAAGCATGGTATTGTCATGGTACATGTACACAAAATGTCATGATACATGTTCAAAAAAACAGTGTTAGTATGTACAGTACTGTACGAAGTTAAAAGCATTAGCACAATTGCTAATATTGTTGGTTTGTGTATAATAAATGTATTATAAACTTGTATTATAATCCTATTATAAACTTCAAAGTCACGTTGGATAAAATCATGTAAAAATGGAATGTAATTGATACCAAAAACACTTTTTAAACTTACCGTTTTGTATAGAAATTAACTTTTTTTTTTATTACAATAAACATGGCAAAGCCTGAAGAATTCAGCCACTGAATATGAAATAAGCTGCTAGATTAGCAGCGAGGTCTGATATTGTGTCCAAAATAAGACTTAAGGTTAAGATGTGTTTCTAACATGGTGCACAGCCCATTATCCAGCAATTGATGCACAGTACTGGATGCTCCACAGAACGTCCTTGATCAAGAACACAATATCTCTCTTCATGGCCCAGCTAAAATCTCATACCACGGCATGTCGTCTCTAAAAAGTGCCAATACTGCATACGAACTATCGCCAGAGCCTTAATGGTCATGTTACACATATGTGAGGGTGTGTGAGTAATGAGTGCTGATGGGCTTAGCAGAGTGGCAAAAGATCCATAGCTTTACGATCTCACAGCGGTCACAGACGAGGTAATGACTCTCACACACAGCACAGCCTCCCCTTCATCTTAATCTTTTCCTTGCTCGACAAACCATCCTCTCGCTGGTTGGGCCCAAGACTAAAGGCGGCACATTATGGCGCTAAACTCCTTCAACTGAAACTAACTACCCGTCCAGGGTCTAACTCCGATCTAAATCACTGTGGCAGCTCCTAACGGCTTTAAAATGAGCTTGTGATGAGCCCTCAAACCGGTTCAGCAGCATGGTTGGACAAGACCACACTTTTAATTACTGTGTCTGTCTCCATTGTAACCTCATTGTGTGGTCTTACCTCTGTAGTCACAACCACAAACTAAGCTGAAATTGCGTTCCTCACAGGACATGTGGGTTTGCTGGACAGATGATGGTGGAATATGTGACCCCAGCACGATTACTTTAGCTAAGGAGAATCAGTATGGCGATGACGCAGAACTGAAATGAATTTGTTAAGAAGCTTTCATTCTAGAGATGGACTATATGGGAGATGTGAATGTGCCATTTTCTACTGGTGTGCCCACCCTGGGGGTTTATTAGAACGTTGATGAAACTGAAAATCATAGTTGAAGTGGTGACTCACAATAACTGTAAAAAAAAAAAAAAAAAAAGCTTCTGAAT